TTTAAATTAATTTTCAAGGATTTCTTCTTCTTTCTTTTTGCTGTCAATGTCAAATAATCCCCAAAGACAGAACAACATAAAAAACGACATAGATGTTGCCATAGGAGACTCTGGATTCTCATTATGTCCAATTTATTAGTTTTTATGACGTACAATCTTGGTTACATCCTCTTATGTAATGAATATGTTTGCTGCCTTTCTTAAACACAAGAGAGATTTGGTAATGCTTCAAAACAGTGGTTTACTGCTTCAGCTGAATTAACTTTGCAACATGAGTCCCATTCCAAATAAAAACTGTAAAAAACTTAGAGCAGGAATGTGTCTGTCAAAGTTTATACCTTTTCGACTGAACCTGAGGCTTTTCAGGCTGATGTTTTTTGATCTAATCCGAAGCTGCTGATCTTACATCTTGTTGAGCACTTTTTGAAGAAGTTTCTCAGGGGATGTAACTTTAAGGCGCTACAGCCGTAGGTTGTAATAACCGGCGGTATGTTTCCGGCTGATGCTGACTGTGCTCACAGAGATAATTCAATCTGGTACTGAAGACAGGTTCCACTTCAGATCTGATTTCCTGTAGGAGCCCAATTTCATGGTTCAGCATTACACATCGAATTGCTTTGGGAAAAAGGCTGAGGTTGTGCTGAGAGAGAACAATGGGGTAAGCAAAAAGGTCAAGTTAAGGTGGGAGAAACATGACACCAGTGAAGAATAAAGAGACTGAAGTGGGTTTCATGTCATGCATGTTCAGACGTATTTAGGAATACCACGGAGTGACATGAAGATCTGCAGTTATCAGAGTGGATCTCCTTTGAACTTTATCCAAATACAACAGCTCAATTTTCTAACTTTTCACCTGACAGTCATTTGGATGTTGCTGCTATGATTCATGTAAGTTTCTGGGTCCCATCAAGTTGTTTTATGCTTCACATTTAAACCAGATTTGTTTCCAATGAGGCCTGAGTGTTCCATCAGTTTCCCATAAGTTTCCATGCCATCATAAGGCTCAAAACATCCAAACAAACTTTAAAAATAGCAATTCAGAGACAGGGATGATTTTAAATTCACAAAAACATTTGATAAGGTCGACATGGAGGCACCTTATCGACCCATTTTCAGTTTTTTGGCTTAAGGAAGAAGTTCTCATCTCAGACTTTACTATCGTGTTGGCTCTGTGAGCTAAAATACTTAATTGTTTCATGACTCTAGAGATGAAAACTGATTTGATCATCAAAAAGATAGCAAATAAGAAAAGAAAAAACTATTTTATAGAGTAATGTTTATCTTGAAATAGGATCACATAAAGTTTTATCTAATAAAAAAATTGTACTGTTCCTATTACTGTAATTAATATTATAATTAATTACTGTTAATATAACATTTCAGATTTCAGATTGTGCAACTAAATTTTTTAGATGTATATTTTGAATGAAAGAATAATAGATATAGATAGATAGATGGATGGATGGATGGATGGATGGATGGATGGATGGATGGATGGATGGATGGATGGATGGATGGATGGATGGATAGATAGATAGATAGATAGATAGATAGATAGATAGATAGATAGATAGATAGATAGATAGATAGATAGATAGATAGATAGATAGATAGATAGATAGATAGATAGATAGATAGATAGATAGATAGATAGATAGATAGATAGATAGATAGATAGATAGATAGATAGATAGATAGATAGATAGATAGATAGATAGATAGATAGATAGATAGATAGATAGATAGATAGATAGATAGATAGATAGATAGATAGATAGATAGATAGATAGATAGATAGATAGATAGATAGATAGATAGATAGATAGATAGATAGATAGATAGATAGATAGATAGATAGATAGATAGATAGATAGATAGATAGATAGATAGATAGATAGATAGTGTACCCCATTTTGCTAATGCTTTTCCAGTTATCCAGTTATTTTTCCTATTTTTAGCCCTGAATAAAATCCACTTCTGGTGAAGGAAGATAAGACTTCAAATCCCATGGGTCTTTGCGGGAGAGTGTTGGCGTGTGCGCGCACTGAATTTATGTGGAGTGGTCGGAGGCGGAGAATCAGTCAGCTCGCTGTGGAGCTGTGTTGGACAGCAGGAGGAGCCGACCACCGACAGAAAAGACCGATTCAAAGAAAGAACCCGAGTGATACCCTGATGCTGAACACCAGCGACGGGAAGAAAAGGGTAATTGTTTATTTCAACGTTTGGTTTGAACGCGGATTTACAGGAAATCTACGCAGGAAGCTCCGCAGCCCGAAAATAGAGAGAGGATATTGAGAGAGGTGAGAGGAAACCCGTTTGTGGTTCGGTACAGACGGTAAACTGAGACGAAAAATAGCTAAACGCTCCACAATTGGTTCAGTTGGAGTTGAAGGAACAGTCGCTGTTGAATGCATCGACAAGCTAAGCTACATTTAACATTCAGATGTCGCCCTAAATGCATTCAGTTGTTAGCAAATCTATTCTTGGGATTTTAAAAGCCCCATAGGTAAAAGTCTCTCTTTCCAAAACAGGGTGAGGTTTCTCTGGCCATACAAAAGACTTCTGCAGCCTCCTCAGTTAGTGCTCTGAATTCGTGCCGCTTTGCTAAAATAAATGTTCAAAGCTTGTTTCCCGTTAAAAAAGCTGACCCGTGAAATTCTCAGCCTTTATTGAGGGATGTATTGTTTGTTGGAGGCTTTCAGCGCCCCACAGAAGCAGAAAGGTGGAAATGTATCAGAGTCTAGTTATCTGGCAACCTTACAAAGTAACCTGGAAGGCTGTGCGTGTTCATGTTCCTGCAGCGTGCAGCTAAACTGATACGAGACTGAAATATATCAATTTCTGATCCGCTTTCGCTGAGTATTGCCTTAAAAACATTTTAATGCTGAAGAACCCTTCATTTCCACTGTCTACGTGCAGGGAAATGGGGACTTTTCCCCCCTCTCATGTCAAGACGGATGTGGACTGTTTGGGATTTAAAGCCACATAGAAAGGAAGACAGGATCAGTGGAGAGACTGGAGAAACTGGACAAAAAAAGAAAAACCCTACCAAGAATTTAGTTGCAAGGCAGGCAGGCAGTGATGTGGGTTGTGTAGGATGAAAGCATAGAAAAACCAGCTTGCCTACCTTATGTGGGTGTAAGAGGAGTCCACGTTTATGTACAGGCTGGAAATAATCTGCTGTAGTTTTCATGTGTTTGTAAAGGGATAATTATCCTATTTGTGTTTTTCTATGACATGTCTGAGTTATGAAATGAAGTATAAGAACCTTGAAAAGAACAGCTTCATGATTTTATCAACAAAAATAATTGATTAGGATTATAATTATATTTTCTGCTGTGCAGACCAAAATTGTTTTGTTTCTTAGTGCCTATTGACAAGAGTTTAATTCTATTTTACTGCTGTGCTTCGAGTAGAGTGTAATAAACAAATCTGAGCAGGTTAGTTAAGCTACACGTGCCATGTCTGTTTCGGTTCATCAGATGTAAAGCATTAACTTTAATAGAAATCATGGACAGTGCCATTATCTTGTTTTTTTTTACACCCTGTAAAAAAAAAGACCAATACACTTGTCCAGTCTATGGAAGGAAAAGAGATACGTAAGATAAACAAACAATAATGCAAAAGAAAATTGTTGTTATTGTGTTCATTTATTTTGCAGTTTATTGCTTACAGTGGCAGACTTATTCATCATTCTATGCTCCACACAGCTACAAGAACTAATTCCTTTGGCATCTTGTTATAAATTATTTTAAAGCATAGAAACTTTATAACATTTTTAGCTATTTTAGAACTGTACTGTAAAAGGCATTTGTATGTCTTGATACTTGCAACCAGCTCATGTCTACTTGTGAGTTTTAGATGCAGCAAAGTTGCACTTTGGATTTAATCTGGATACTCTTTCCCCTTTTTTCCAGGGATTCAACATGTTATTGGAGAGAGTGACTTTGCACTGGCAGCCTCATCCATGTTAATGTAATGGAAACGTGCTCCTGGTCAGCAGCGTCTGAAATGCATCAGTGGAAATATATGAGGAACCCCCATGGCTAATCATATGAAGTGGTGCTGGCTTGGCTTTGCCTCTCAAGAGTCGGGTGCCCTGCCCTTCCCGGCCCAGCGCCATGCTAAGACAACACATGGACAATAACAAGGAGCGCTCAGTTCAACCGGTGGGAAAGCTGTGGAAAAAGTTGGTGGAAAATCTACAGTTTGAGTCCCAATGTCAGTCTTGTTTTTTTTATTATTATTATTATTTTGACCTAGATTCCCTGTAACACACAGTAGCCATCTGAAGAAAAGCTCCTTTATTCTCTTCCACTTCTACTCTAAGTTGCACCAACATTGAGATTGTAGGGGAACATTTACAGCTGAGAAAATGGATGTTCAGATTTACAGCCGCCTTCTGTTTAAATTAAAAATGCATGGGGGAAAATAAAGGGACCCATATGAGCAGGAGGAAGAGGCGGAACGGCAGCATCAGTTCAAAATGGCCCAAACCAGTTTGCTGCAGGGAAAACGCTTTTACTGCCGAGAGTGGGTCTTCCACAAGATCCAGCACTGCCTGCAGGAGAAAACCAACAACCTGAGCGGAGTGAGCAGCACTCCCAGCAAGCAGCCCCTGCCTGTTCCCGGTGGGGGCGTGCCCGTCCCCGGCAGTATCACGACCGGATCGGCCAAGTCCGGTAGCTCCTGGGGGGTGTTACTGGTGGGAGGACCTGGGAGTGGGAAAACTGCGCTGTGCACGGAGCTGCTGTGGCCCACATCAGCCCAGGGAACGTACCGCAGTCTGCACAAGCAGAGCCTGGCTTTCCACTTCTGCCGGGCCGATGACTCGGACACGCTGTGTGTCGGTGGATTCATCCGGGGTCTGGTGGCCCAGATATGCCGAGGCGGGCTGGTGCCGGGTTACGAGGAAAAGGTCTGCGACCCGGCTGTGCAGAGCACCCTGCAGCCTGGGGAGTGTGAGAGGAACCCAGCAGAAGCTTTTAAGAAGTAAGAATATGAATATTCACATGAAAGCATCACTTTTCTGATGGAGCTTTTAGGGCTGCAACTAAAAATGATTTAGTTATCGATTAATCAGATTAAAAAAAGGCACATTCTGCAGACTTTTGCAGTTATAAATAACATTTTCACCTAAAATGTAATAACAGCTTTTCTTTAATGAACACTTGATCATTTTTAGCAAAGGACATATCTGCAGTGAAAAAGTACTTCTGGCATCAACATGTGAAAAGCTCAAACCTTTCTGCTTCAGTATAAGACTTACCTCGCCATCAATTTATAATTGAATACAAAAGGTGATTAAAAAGTCTTTTTTTTTTTAACAGAATTTGTATCATGAAATGCAAATTTTATTCCTCAATGCAAAATGTATATATTTTGGGATACTTGTGACTTAATTACTGATTTAAGATGTTCTTTCAGCATTTGACTTTTTTGAGTCTTCTCCAGTTAATGATAAATTAGTTACTAAATTGGATGACGATTACTTCAATAATTGATTCAACACAATTAATCCTTCTAGCCCTAATAACTTTTCATCTCATAAATGCCATTGTTTTATATCATAGAAATTATGAATGCCTAATAGTTTTATTTATATTTGGTGTTAAAAGTAGTAAGTGAATAACTCACTCAAATAATATCTTCTGTATACATTTATGTAAGAAACTCATTTGTGTCCTTTGAGGTAAAAATAGTGTTTGTTTGCTTGGGATTTAAAAAAAATAAAATTAAAACTCAGCACCTCCCCCTCTGCTTCCTATGATCCACCTTCTGACCCTGATACCCCCTCCTCATTTTTTTTTTATTTTTTTTTGCTCACACACAACCAGAGGCTCCGCCTCACAAGCCTCCCCTCTTATTTGCTGTCATGGTTTTGTTGGTTTTCCCCCCCGGTGTGGCATGCTGGGTGGGACTGTCCCCGCTCGGCTTTCTGATTCAACAAAGGTTAGATGTTTTTAAGTCGTGACCAAGCTCAGGTGGCCAGAACTTTGAACTGTGACTGATTCCCAGACCTGAGGAGTGACTCCTGTAAAAGGATGAAGTGCAGATGTTAAGTTGAAGTACAGTAGGTTTTGTGGGCTTGCAGCACCCTGCCTGGGCATGTAACGCGATCAAGATGGACTGTTATTGCAAACGGAGGCTTTAAAGGCGAGCTGCACGTGAGAGTGAGTGTATGCAGTGGACTTGGATGACTTGTCTGCACAGCATGGGTCAGGCTGTCTGAGTAACGCAGGATGGAATGCACCACAGAACACACACACTTATGCTTTTGTGGCCACACAGTAAAAATAGGAGAGTAATTTTTTCGGAGTTAACATTATTTTCATCAAAAAGAGTCAAATTTATACATTAGAGAGTGAAATCATTTCAGTTGGTCAATAGAATCGGAGTAAAAAATAGAGGAAATTATATCGGAGTAAAACAAGACCACGCCCACTGAAGTTCCTTAAGTTTCGTTTCTTCCGCCATCTTGTCATCCCGCAGTGGAAACGGAGGCGACGGTTAGCTATGTGCCAGGTAAGTCCCCAAACGGGTTTTTTATATATATATATATATATATATATATATATATATATATATATATATATATATATATATATATATATTATTAAGACTAAAGGTGTGATAAGGTGCTGCTGTATGGTTGTGGGGGAAGGAGGGATGCAGCGAGGAATTAACATGGTTGGCTAACTAGTTAGCATGTGTACTTCAGCTATCTTAATTTAGCAGTTTACAGCAATGTAAGCAGAAAAACATCAGTGCTGTACAATGCTTCGTCCATTATTATATTTTCACAAGTCGAGGCTGTCGCTATTTTTAAGCTGAGAGACTGAGCTGTACTGTCGGAGCTAGCTCTGCTAGCATGTGGAGTCAGTATTCCGCCCAGAAAAAAGCGCGAGAAGGCTATGCTAGTAACTGCTCTTGAAATTACTAGCATAGTATTATTTTAGTGAATCCTAGGGTTGCAGCTCGTAGAGCAACGATAAAATAAAAAAAAAACAGAATTCAAGTTGTGCTTTATATGCAAATTGTGTAAGTTGTCACGGTTGTCTTTGTTTTGACAACTTTAAAAACATTTGTCATTCACCTACTTTTAGGAGCATTATTACAATGCAGAAGATGGAAGTGGGTATTTGGCTTGGAGACTGAAGTTTGTACAGAGGGAAGCTTCTAATGGACAAAAAAATGTCCCCAGACTGTCACAAACCCAAACAGGTATATGGATTTATATTTGTACACATTTCATCCTGCAACCAAACTGCACAATAAGTTCCCAAGCGTTATTTATGAATCCTAACATGGAGTCTCACATATATATGTTTTTTTAGGGGGACCAACAACTGATAAGAGAGACTGTTTGAGAGAAGAAGACTATCTTCTGACAGATCGCTTGTGTTCATAACAGTCTCTTCATCAGCTGTGTGCTTCATCAGTGCAATCACTGATGAAGCACACAGCTGATGAAGAGACTGTTATGAGGAACATGAAACAGACTTTCAACTCTCGTCAGAAGATGATTCATGACCCAGCAAAGTCATCTAGTATCTTTTTGGACTTCCCAAGATTCCTGGACATAGGAGGATTGGTATGTTTATTTTCACTTCAGTTTAACCAACAAAGTTTAAATAAGAAAACTTAACAAAATGATTTTTAAAACCTTCACTTCATCTATTCTCCAGGTTGAGCAAGATTTTATGTTGATGTTTGGGGAAGCCATCTCTGCAAAGTCCCTGAGAAGTGGCCCACTGTCTACAAGCATAAAGTCCTCAAACAAAGCCGGAGTCTCACACAGTCTGATGACCTTCAGAACCTTCTTTACAATGCTGAAGGCACAACAGAAGTGGAAATGGTAAGTTGCAATTACTTATAAAGAAAGTGTTTTATGTAACAGAATTTTATTTGAATTGGTTCAATATAAGTGCACCTCCTCCTGCTGTTAGTTAGATTTGGTAAGCTTTCTCTAGAAGTATTAACATGGTTGCAAATAAGAAGTTTTGGTAACATGTTTCTTTAACTTTTTCTTCTAGGATGGGACAGTGACATGTCATCCATTTTGATCCTGGTGTGCCTCCTGCCACAGTCACCTCCTGGATACAAGAGACCAGGAAAACTCTCAGCCAGACAAGCCAGTGAACATCTTGTGAAGTTTGTCAAGGTAAGGTTAGAGTAAAGGAAACATTTATGAAATTGGTCTTCAATTTCATTTCAAGTGACATTTAAGATATCCTGAAAAGTAATTTGCCTTATCTATTAGAACCCTGTCTTCTTTGAAACCTAAGACTAATAATGTTTTATTCTGTTTTTGCCACAGACAAGAACCAGCATCAAGGAGCACCTTGAAGGCATCGCAGAGAGCTGTCAACCATACCTGCTTGCAGTAAGGACTCAGAGGAGCGTGATTTGATGAGCTTTTTAAAGCTCACTTTATGTTTGGCACTTCATTTGATCATGATCTGGTCAATGTGTACAAGAGACGGACCTCATGTTATTTATGTAGAAGAGCTTTACTGTTCCAGAGCTTTTCATTTCGAGGTGTCATACAGTCATGAAGACGCAAATGTTTAAATTGTTCCATGCTGTTTTCTGTGAACAATAAAAAATGGCTGTCCAAATTCTGATTTCTGGTCTATGCATTGTACTCTTACAAACAGCTGTGTGTTATAGCTGTAAAACAATTGCTTCGTCAGTGAAATTACATTTACATTTGGTACTACTTTAGAATTTAATTAAATGTTTAACTGCACAATATGGAATAAAATGAAATTAGGACTAAAATTTTATACTATATGGAATAAAATGTTATTCTATTTTATGTAAAATTCATTTTTAATTAGATTAAAATTTATCTCTACTTAGAATAGAATGCAATGCTTTTTGGAGTAAATTATATTCTACTTGGAGTTAAAATACGGTAGAGTATTTTTTCTTTTAAACAACTTGGAGTAAATTCTCTTGGCATTGATTAAAATTTTTGCACTAAATTGTGTTGATTTTAATCTGTAATTTCAACTCTTCCATGAGAGTAAATTTTACTCTATTTAGACTGGGACCAAATGTTGTCTTTTTTAGAGTAAAATTTTTTTCAAATTGTGTAAAATTTACTCTGGAAATTTTACAGTGCATCTGGTGACACTTACAGCACCATCTCAACATCACACACACAAAGCAGGGGAGTGAGGTGAGGTAAATCATTTTTTAATGATTTACCTCACTTTTCATATCAACTTGGTCTTTCCTAAGGAAGCCAGCGCTCTTGTCATCTGCTCGTAATCATACGGCTGGTGCTGATGACTCTGACTTGAGGTTGACCTTTCTTCAAATAAAAGGCAGGTTTTATTATGAAACAAACCAGGACTCTGCTCTCTGCTTTGCTGGAAGTTGGGACAGGCACGCTTGGTCAGCCTCTCCTCGTGAAACAAATATTCTCCCTGCAGTCGACACCTCAGGCCCAGAATCTTATTATCACTCCTCCTTTTGTTTGTCAGCCGGCCAAAGGGACTCTTGGTTGAGCGCCTTATCTTCATTTAAAGCGTAAAAGATTCCCCAGCACTGCTGAACACAAATAATCTGAATGGCCTCCTTTCTGCTCCAGATGCTATCTGCTTTCAAGAAGCCAAGAATGATGTCTGGCACAGAAACATAAGGAAATAAAAGCAGGGCGGAACATGGAAAAGCATAAAACTTTAGTGTTAGTTCAGGATTATGACTGTTAATTTACTTCAGGAATAAAAATTCAGAGGGGTACATACCTTGTTTCCATTTAACTGATGCGGGTTTCACATTTTTAAGTAAAAGTCAGAAGTTTTATTTAGTAGAAGCATTTGGAGGGCTTTTTTTTTTAAATCTTTCATTTTTGCTGCGAGAACTTTTGGCCTGCCCTCTCTAAACCCTTTTCCAGCTGTGATTTTTAAACATTGCCTAGTGAGTGAGTGCAAGAGGCCCTGCCAAATTCTTTAGCCTAGTCAAAGGTAAACAAGTCACATTGTTGGTAGTAATCCTCACTCTTATGTTAATACAATAAAACCACTTTGACATGAGTTAATGTCCACCTGTGCGATTTGATTCTAGCCTTCTTTTGCAACAAAAGCTTTCTAGATTTTGGGATTTAAACACAATTCCAAAGTCCTTGAGTGTTACAATTTATAGAGTTTCTTTTTTTGTTGTTGTTTTCCTAATATGCTTTAACATTATTTTGCCTGTTTCTTAATGTTTAGACTAGAGTCCCTTATATGTTTTCTTCTATGTTTTGTTTTTGCTCTTGCATGTAAATGAGGACAACAGTGGTGCAGTTGAATAAAATTTATTTTCGTTTTGACTAAAATTTTACCAAACAAACCAAGATAAACAAATGTTTTGTAAAAACCCAGCAATTAATTTGCTAATTTTATCGTACTAAACTACAAAATAACAAAATCTTACCAAGTATTCCGACTAGTTTCTAGTGCAAATAGTACACTTGAAATGAAACAAAACAATGTTTATAAGTAATGTTTCAGCAAGATATAAGAGCTTGTTTTAGGTTAATGATATTGATGATAAAGTCCTAAGTCCATAGCCAAATTATTTCATTTATGACATGAGAAAAATGTAAATGCTGCAAATGAAATAATCTGTCAATGAAAATATTATTTTTTTCATCAATATTAAGGAGTCATATCATGGACTTGAAACATGTACTGAAAAGTGATTTTAACTAAATATTACTATACATGCTTCTCTATATTGTCACCAGTCACCTCCAAGCCATGTTCCACTGCCTCCACCAAAACAATTGTTCAGTTGAAATGAGTTTTCTTGAATGTCATTCAAACTTGCACTGCTTCCTCCTTCTCATTAAGTTTTTTTTTTTTTTTTTTTTTTTTTATATAAATTTTTGATTTGTGTAATCTTGCGTTCATAGAATTAGAAATGGAAATAACCTTTATTGTGCCTCAAGGGGGAAATTTAGGTCATACTGGTTCCATCTCTTGGAAACAATTATTATTGTTAGTTTTTATTATTATTTAAGAAAAGGCTTCTCTTTCTAGATGTTTCCACAGTAAACTGCTCGCTAGTATTTATGCAATTCCCACTTTGTCACATCTTATTACAAAATAGATGTTTTAAAAGAATCCTGATTTTAATTTGCAAATTTGATGTCAACATTTTCAGAAAAGAATTAAGCTTGAAAACACAATAATTATCATATTTAGTTTTATCTTAGAAACTAAATATCCCTTGTAACTGAAATATTAACACCAACAACCTTTTTTTTTTTTTTCTTTCAAGGTCCTTTTTGAATTCACACATCTTTAGAAGTAATGTGATGCATTAACAGGTCAAATGCCTGCTGGCAGCTGCCACAGAGATAAAAGGCAGTTTCACCTTTCAGTGTGCTTTTCTTCTGATCTGAATCAGCCAGTGCTGGCTGTCTTGTTCAGACAATAAACTTGATATTTCTGTTTCATTTACATTTCAGATTGGTCATCAGTGATACCTAAAACCATTGTCTGTCTGGCTGCAGACATCAAGGGTTTATCTGCCACATTTGTCTGTCTTGCTCACATCCGCATCACTCTCTACTAAGTCTACTTATGTTTTATCAAACATTTGTCAGTTTGCAAGTGTCTGAGTTTGAAAGAACTGATTTGATAGGCAGGTCAGACGGCATACAATTTTTTTTTTCCCTTCGATGTTGAGAATAAGGGGAATTAATTATTTCAAGTTAGATTATTTTTTAATTTTTTGTTCATGGAGCAAACTGCTATCAAATGTTTGTGTGTCTTTATGTAGATCTGTTGTATCAGAATGTAAAGTAATGTGATTTGCAGCTGTGCAGGTTTTATTTTCCTGTAAAGGGCATAGGCCTCCGAAGTGATGAATGATCTTGGCTTAAATCTGTGAAAGGGTTGGAACATTCTCAACTAGTATTTTATTCTGAGGACATATGTGGAAGGAATTAATTTTGCACTTGTTGGAGTTATTTTTTTACACAGCTTTTCTTCAAATCTTAGTTTGTTCAAAGCAGTTTTTGATACACCAAATAGGTTAACATTTCTGCTCATGTCTGTTTTAGCATTTTGAGTCTATGCCATTTTATTGGGGTTAAAATGAACGCGACTCCTTTGCTTTCATGTGGTCCACTGCTGTGGAAAATGTGCAGGAGATTAGGGCTGTGTTTCAGAAACAAAAGGGGTAAAAAAAACCTCCCAGTGTGAAGCATCAGCTCTGTTTGGGCAGATGAGGAGAAACGACAGTGCTGGTGTGGCTGCAGCGATGACTCAGCAATCGTCTCTCCACACCACAAGCAGCGTGTGTGGAGCATTTCTGCCTACGTGTTCGGGTGGGCACTCATAACTCATTCATGTAATGGTTGTCCAACTTTTAAGCTATTAAGACCACAGCAAGAGGAGCTGTGAGTTTATTCATGAAAGCAAAGAATGGCTGTGGTCGAAATCAATCGTGAAAACTGACCATCATTTGCTGAATCAAGAGCCACTGTTGTGATCTTTTCAATGGTATGTAACCTCAAATTACTCGTGTTTACTTTGAAAGTAAACAAAAAAAAAAACTTTTTTTGAAGAAGTAGACATGTTTGTTTAAGGATTTGTTATTGTGGGAGCCTTAAAATTTAAATCTGATCCTCCTGGCTCCTCAGTGACGTGGGTGTCCTTATTTTAAAATCCTCTATGATTGATGGAGGACTGGCAACATAAGCCAATCACATCCCACAACAGTCATCACTTTTT